AAAAATATAAAATATAATATAGAGCTAAAAATAAATATATACTAATATAGAAAAAAAAGTAAATTCTATTACAATATTAGTTCTATCTATTTAAACAATTTGATTGTCTTAATAAAGCTATCTACAAAAAATGATAGCTCTACCTAAAAAATCTGAACTGTAAAAGACAAACCTGGCCAAGATACTCTTTAATGAAATGATTATTATAATTATACTACAAATCCATATTGATAAAAGAAGATAGAAAGTAATAAAATTTTATACACCACATTAGAACTAAATGACAACTTTATATATGAATTTTGTTCTGGTATAAATACTGATGGCAATGGTTTACAGCTTTAAAATTTGCCTTATATTTAAATTATGCCTATTAAATTGTGTAAATTGGTTAGAGACTATCAAATCTGACAAAATACTAATAGAAAAAGTAATATATACCCATGCATATATGCTAATACAATTAATTAGTAATTATTAATTTGTTAATTTTTAAAATAAAATAATTCTAAAAATAAATTTTATACTTACATTAAGACAGACAGTTTAATTCTTTTATAAACTAAAATAAGCAAAAAAATATTTGCAATAGAATACTAATCTAGTAGATAATTATTTATAAATCAAAATTAGTTGTTTATTCAAATTTTTGTCCACTAGTACAAAACAACTAAACCAAAAAAAAATAAAGCAAAAAGAAAAAATTACAATATTTTAAAAAAATTGACTAATTGTCTTGAAATTTCCTCAAATTTTTTACAGATAATGGTATTGAAAATTCAAAATCAAATAAATTAATAAGTTTCTATTTTCTTATAGGGTCATCTGCAGGATGTTTTAGACCTACCAATAATTCATTAGAGGGATCTTCCATTTTCTCTATGTTCAAAAACAATCTTTCTGATTTTTTAATGCTTTCTTCTTCAGCACTTTTTTCTTCAAAAACAAGATCTTCAGACTATTCTCTAAGAACTGCTTTTCAGTCATCACTAATGTCTTTATTTGCACTTGAATCTGAGTTGTCTACAGCAATCCTTTCTTCATTTTCATTACCAGTTTCTAATTCAATAGCATTAGAACTTTCTTGTTCAACTTCAAGTTCTTGAGAATTTATTTGTTAGCATCTATGATCATTAGAACCAAATATAGTATTTGTGTTTATTAATATGCTCTGCTCTAATGACTTTGCTGCTTCAATTGTATGGTTATAATTAATTTCAGCTTACATTTGTGTCATTAAAAAAACCTTATTAAGCTATATAAGAGTAAAAATATTGTAACCAGTTTTAATATTAAATATAACAATAAGATAAATCTTTACAAACTAGTAATCTGTTGTGCTATGAGTTATGAAAAAAGCCCATTGCTGAAAATAGACATTCACATGATGCAGAATTGATACAAATTGAGAATAAACAGATTGCAAGCATGCCTAATTCTTTTGTAGCATTTGCAAAATAATTTCAATATTCCTAAATTTTAACAAAATTAGATGCCATTTTATCATCAAATGAATATTCTTTTGTTATAAATTTTGAAAATTCAGATAATATTACAAGTAATCAGGTTTCAAACCATGCCTTGTAGTAATATTGTACCCATAAACTAACTTAAGGTAAATTTAGTAAAGAATGATTATTAAAAACTTTGTTACAGTATGCTGGATAAAGAAAAAAAAAAAGTAACAACAAAGGTTGCTTTCATTGACTCCATCATATTTCTAAATGTTGAACCATAGTTTTACTAAAATTATCTGTTTGATTTTTATATAATTGCATAAAATATACAAATGAATGTAAAACATCTGATAATCGTGCAGCATTTTGCTGAAGATGATTTAAAATTGCTGTAAAAGAAAGTAAATGTGATTCAAGTTCTTCTATTGTTTGCTACCAATTATTATCATCTAAAAACTTGACAATATTTTCTGGTAAAACTTGATATTGTAAATAAAGTGCCTATTTATTTATTTTTTTTTAGTATTATAATATAAAATAAAATAATAAATAAAATTTAAATGAATATAAAATATATATACTTTTAAAGTCCATTTATTATGAATTAATAACGAAAAGCAAAAATAGTAACTGTTTCAGTAAGTATTTGCAGGCCTTATAAGACAATAATATTTTTCATATAATTTTTTTTGTTCTTCATGCAGTTTACTGATTCAATAAGAATGTTTACTATTAGTAAAATATGCAACAATATTAATGGCTTTTGTTAATGCATCTTTATATTTAGGTAATAATTTGAAAATATTAGTAATACAAAGATTCACCTGATGGGCAAAACAGAGAAGGAAAATCTGATTAGTATATTTCAATCATATTCAGTGTCTAAATAAAAATTAAAATTATTATTTTAATTATATCAATATATATTTATTTAATATAAATTTTATTTATATTTATCTTGCAGCTGTGTATGCAGCTGCACTATTTGTTACGATAGCAATAATTTTAATGCCATTCATTTTAGTTCACTCAAAAAAATTTTTAATTGTTTCTATAACATTATTCATTTTACTACTCTTTACTGAAATATCTTTTGTGCCTCATATTAAAACCTTTTCATTACTAGTAATTAAAATACTTCCTAAAATTTCTTGAAAACTGACATTTTTTTATCTATCAAAAATAAGAATATTGCCAATTTCATGCTTTTTAGCTTCTACAATATGTTGCTGTTGCAATTTTTCATTATATGATGAAAGCATACATCTACTAAGAGCCTGGCGACCAGCTAATGTTAAATTTGGGTTTATAATTTAAAAAGTGCAATAATCTTAGGATTTTCAGTCCATCTAAATGCCCAACTATTACTAATTATAGATTTTAAAAGATGCCATTCAAAAACAATATATTCAGCTGAATTTAAATCTTAAACAAAATAATTATTCATTAAATTTTTTAATAGTCATAATTTTGTATGTTATAAGTATTGTAGTAGCTTCAACAGTTTTTTCAAAAGATGTAGAAGTAAAACTTAAACTTGTTAATAAACTTACAACTGAATTTGATAAAGTTGTATTTATTTCTTGGTCTTTATTATCTGACTCATAAAGAATTTTATTCCTTTCTTCTTGAGTATATGTTTTAAAAAAATTTTGATATTTTTTAAATATGCTTTAGTACAAGCTTTTGTATTAGTAAAAATAGATTTTTTAAAAGCAACATCTCTTCCTAATTTATCTATACAAGCTTTACAAATAGCTGCTTTGTTAACTTTATTTATACACATTTGTAAAACTTCTACATATGATGTGAGTCTATGAGAAGCTTTATTGCCAAAATGCTTTATAGTGAAGATATTAAATAAACTTTAGATAAGGTTTGTAATACAAACATCAATTATTTATAAAAGTTCTAATTTTCTAAAAAAGGTAATTTTTCTATTGATGAATAGAACAATAGAATCTATTCTATTGATTCTATTGCTCTATTAATATTAATAGAATTTTCTATTGTCAACTGAATAGAAAATCAATATAACCAATAGAAAACTTATTCTATTGATTATTCTAATTTTTATCTAATAAATTAATAAAATGACAACACTGATAATAGCATATCATATATAACTAATAAATAAAAAGTAAAAAAAATTACAATTTGTTTAAAAGCATAAAAAGTATTATAAAAATAAAATAAATATAATTAGAATTAGTAAATATTAAAAACAATACAAATTAAATTGTTCAATAGTAATCAAAAAACCAAAGTTAAAAAATAATATTAGTAAATACTGCTAAGTTTTACTATAGACAAAAATTAAGAATTAGAATAAAATAAGTTTAGTACAAAGTTAAACACAACTTAGTGACTATAATATATTTGTACTAAGATGCAGTTAGTAGAATAAGAATGGATATAGAAACTAGAATACTTAAATAGAGAACCTATAGATGAGTTCTAGATATAACAATTAGTATAAAACCTTTAGATAAACTACTTAAATTAGATAATAACTAAAGTTGTATAAGTAACTAGTTATACATTCTTTTTATGATTACTCTTGTAGTTGTTGTACATAACAACTACAAACCAAATACTATTAATAAACTCCTGGGTCACATGTACTTATCTTAATACTATAAAAAATTTTTTAATAATTTTTAATAATTTTTGATTAATTAATAAAACTTTTACAATATTATAAGATACTCTATAAAATTTAGTCAATTATAATAAAAGCTTACAATACTTTTTTTGGATTGTATTACCAATATAAATTCTATAAATAAGTTATCCAAACAATTAATCTACACATATTGTTCTGTAACTATTTATAAAATATGTAAACAATTCTTATACAAATCTTTCAGATTTAAAATTTGTGACTTAGAACCAAGTCATCAAATAAAAAATCTATAATTGTCAATCACATGAAATTGAATAATTAATTATTTTCTTATATGTGATAATTGACCAATTATATTTATTATAATTAATAATAATCTTTAAAATTTTATTTTAATAAATTGAAAATATCTTGTGATCTAGTGATTAAAATTTAATAATTTTCATATTATTTAACTCGTTTCATTAGACAAAACAAATAATATAAAAATTATTAAATTCTAATTGTAGGTTTATGAGATATTATCAATAATTTAATCTTCAATTTCTTATATATATTTTTTTATTAAAAATTCTGTTTTCTTTACAAATTTATTATTTCTGTTTAATTCAATTAATAAGACATATTCTTTCAAATCATTTTTATATTGTTTTTTTTTTAATTTTAAGGGCAGTCTCGCCTGTGTG